GTTTGTTGCATTCGTTAACAAACCACTGTCAGAAGGTTCTTTCTTAGTTAAGTTACTATTTTTGGGTTGGAAAGTTCGTTTTTTTTTTTTGAACCTTTTTCTGTGGCCTTCCACTCATTTTCTATAAGAAACTTTTTAAATCTTAGCAAGCAAGTGCTAAATTCATCACTATTCAGATCAGAAGAACTTTCTTTCATTAGAAATCTACCCTCAAAAGCCAGTCCTTTCTTTCTTATCTTCTGTTGTCAAAGAAGATTTCATTTCTTTCTTGAAAACAAGAGCTCCTATAAGATAATCATAAAGATGACGGGGAGCTCTCTTTGTAAATCATGACAGTTCCTATAGAATCCCATTATTCTAAGGTAGAATTCTAAGGCATTTTCTTAACAAGTTAACAAGCTCATCTTCTGAAATTTCCTTACCGAGAGTTCTCAAAGGATTAACTATATTAGTAAATCTAGAATTTAACTTTGCAATAGTTTCTCCTTCTTTCATACTAAACATTTCATATTCTCTCCAGAGGATATTTATTCTGGATTCCTTAACTCTATCTGTACCCTCATAGGTGACTTTAAGTTTTTCCCATACTTCTGTCGCCGATTTACATCCAGAAACTTTGTTGTATTCTGTTGCATCTAAAGCACAGTGAAGAATATTAATAGCTTTTGCATTTATAGCAATATCATTCCAATCAGCATCTATATATTCATGCGTCAACACATCTGTATATTCTTCTTCTGATTTTCTAATTCTCTCATTTTCTACAATTATCATAGGCATACGAGGACCTATAATCACGTTCCTCCAGCAGTTTATATCCACTGATTTTATGAAATTTTCCATTCTGGTTTTCCAATAAGAGTAATTTGAACCATTGAAAAAAGGAGGTCTAGAAACAGACTGGCCTTCTAGAGAAGTAAGAGGAAGTGGGGCTGCCATGGGATCTTATCTCTTAAGCTGTTAAGCTTCGGTAAGTCAAGAGCCAATGCTCTGATACCAGGGTCCCGTATATGTATGACACAACCCAGAGGGGGGGTGAATTTGGATCTTTCTAAAAACAGCTATTAAATTTAGAATTTAAAAACAAAAATAGAATTCTAAGTGCAGCGAGAAAAAATAAAGAGACTCCGTGAGACATAGAATTATGGATTGAGAACTACCTCCAAATGTTCTATTCATAAAAGATAGAAAGACAATGCAAAGTTGCAGGCTATTTAAATGTAGAAACTGCCTTCACAATGTCTTATCAATATCAGAACTGCTTATGAAGGGAAAGCTATGAAATTTAGAACTTCCTCATAAAGTTTAGAAAATTAATTAGAAACCCAAGTAAGTGAAATATACTGTAATAGAAGAATGGTTTAGGAGACTTGTATACTTCACTTATCAGAATTCTAGAGTCTTAATATTCAAGAAGATAAGGGACTTATTCCAAGATTTAGAACATTCAAATTCATTTTCAACTTAGCATTTCTCTTAAAAATATAAACAGAAGTGTAATAAAAGCAAGTATCAAAGCAAAACTTCAGAAATTAAAAGATCAAACACAGTGATTTATAGTGGTTCGGCACTAACTCGCCTACATCCACTCCCAAGACTCATCTTGAGATTCCTCAACTATGTTTATTTCTCTTTTCAAGGGTAAGGAGACAAACCAACTTTTCAAGGAAATAGATCAACACCTAGATCTAACATTTGTCCCACTAGATTTTCCAAAGGTTCTGATCAACCTCAACCCTTTCTATTTTTCCAGAGTACAAAAACTCACATCAAGATATTAAAATCTCACACAAAGGAGAAGGTTGCTTGATAACCTGTTACACCATAGCTTTTCATCTCAGCTATTACATAAAATTTTTTCATTTAAAAAATCTCTAGTCTACAACAGATTACAAAACTTATATAGACAGAGAGAAATGCAATTGTAAAGCACAGGAAGAATAGAAAACATATTTTGAAAACAAAAATAAAGTTCAGAACTGTTCTTCAAAAAATGTTGTTATTAAATTTTCTTTAAAGATAAAAATGTTAAGTGTAAAGATGAAAAGAAAAATTGGGGTAGAGAGGGCGTATAGAATAAGTTTGAGAGATAAAGATTTGATCAATGAGAGAATGCTCTTCAAACGAAAACTCTTACTTCACCATCGTTCCAAGAGTGAAACATTCCTTTATATAGAGAGATATGAAGCTCTTGCTTTTGGAAAGAGAATATTTCATTTTGAAATCAGAATATCTTCTTTCCTTATTTAGAAGATACGAAAATCTTTGTTACCAAAAATTTATTTTTATCTTATCCTTTGGTAAGAGAATAAAAGACGATTTTACTGTCCTTTAAACAAAAAGATTTTCGGCAGTATTTTTTTTTGGAAAAATATTTTTACGAAAAGATGTTCTTACCAAAAACGAAAAGATTCTTACTTCGTTTTAAGGTAAGAGAATAATATTGAAATTCTTTAGATCCTCAAAAGATATTTCCGAAAAGTAAAGTGTATGATTTATTACCAAAAACATTAGAAATGTAATCTCTTTAGTTTTAGGAAATCAAATCATTTCGATTTTAAAAAATATTTTTCGAAAACAAATAAAAGAATTTATTTTGAAAAATCTAATTTCTGAAAAATATTTTTGTTGAGAGAAAAATTAATTTATGTACTCATATATGAATTTTCTCTCTATCCTGCTCGCTCCAATATATGGAATTTCTCTCCTAATCCTGCAATGTGTCCTAAATACCTAGCCACTAGGTATCTCGAACCCAATCTTCACACTCAATGTTAGGACTTGCCTTATAACGATTTCTTTCCAAAAGAATTCTGCATAAAATAATATTTAGACACTAATAACGATAATTTAAATTTATTTGTTTTAATTATCAAATCCCGCAGATTAGAAATTGACCATTGAGCCAACAGATTTCACCTTTTTTTAAAGTATCATATACCTTTTGGGTATGAGATTATTATCATTTCAATGTTCATAACTACATCTTTCTGTGAGTTTTTTTTTTCTACAAATCAAAACGCTTTACTAATTAAATGAAAAAAGACATAAGAAATTTTTAAGTATAAGAATAAATAAGAAAAAAATAATTTTTCTCTAGAAATAACAAAAATATTTGATTTTTAAGTAAAAATTGATTTAAAATGAAGTAACAATTATTTCATCAAC